GTGATATATGCCATCATGTGCCAGCAATGCCCCTCTGCCATGTACATTGGTCAAACTGGACAGTCTCTACGTAAAAGAATAAATGGACACAAATCAGATGTCAAGAATTATAACATTCATAAACCAGTCGGAGAACACTTCAATCTCTCTGGTCACGCAATCACAGACATGAAGGTCGCTATCTTAAAACAAAAAAACTTCAAATCCAGACTCCAGCGAGAAACTGCTGAATTGGAATTCATTTGCAAATTGGATACTATTAATTTAGGCTTAAATAGAGACTGGGAGTGGCTAAGTCATTATGCAAGGTAGCCTGTTTCCTCTTGTTTTTTCCTACCCCCCCCTCCCCCCAGATATTCTGGTTTAACTTGGATTTAAACTTGGAGAGTGGTCAGTTTAGATGAGCTATTACCAGCAGGAGAGTGAGTTTGTGTGTGTATGGGGGTGGGGGGGATGTGAGAAAACCTTGATCTATGCAGGAAATAGCCCGACTTGATTATGTAAAGAGTTGTCACTTTGGATGGGCTAGCACCAGCAGGAGAGTGAATTTGTGTGGGGGGTGGAGGGTGAGAAAACCTGGATTTGTGCTGGAAATGGCCCACCTGTTGATCACTTTAGATAAGCTATTACCAGCAGGACAGTGGGGTGGGAGGAGGTATTGTTTCATATTCTCTGTGTGTATATAAAGTCTGCTGCAGTTTCCACGGTAAACATCTGATGAAGTGAGCTGTAGCTCACGAAAGCTCATGCTCAAATAAATTGGTTAGTCTCTAAGGTGCCACAAGTACTCCTTTTCTTTTATCTATACACAGTTATTTAAGCAATTATATAGCTTAAGATAATTTTATTCAGATTCTTTTTAATTTTTATTATGTTAAAAATGGTGAATGATGCATTTTGTATTTAATAAGTTTATCTTTTTATTTGTGATTTTGTGTCCAAGCTGCATTTGGGGATAATTATACTGATTTCCTTTATAAAGTGCTTTGAGATCTATGGCTGAAAGTGCAATATAAGAGCAAGGTGGCATTATTATGTCATATTTGGATGGATGTTGGAATTCAGTTTAAAAATGCAAAAATCAGCATTTTAAAATTGTTTTTTAGTAGTTAAAGAAATCTACCTTAAATGTGCTGGATATATAAGGAAAAAATTATCCAAACATGTTTTGTATTTAAAACTGACTTATTAAACAAAAGTATTCCCTGTATTTAGTGAACTGTGTGCAACAAGAAAGGAGCAATACTGGTATCAAAGCGAGGAAAAAGGGACAACGTTCTTCAGAGGGCAGCCTCTAGTGTTGATTTCAACACTTGGGAACTGGAGCGGGGGAAAAACCTGCTATGACTGCAGGTCATAAAAAAGACCCTATTAAGTTAATTATCTAAGCAATATATCCCTCACCATTTTCTGACTCACTAAAAATGTACAATTAATAAGAATCAAAACATTAAGCTGTATAATTGCTTCAATAAATGTATATAGTTATCATGTCCCCTCCGAGGTGGCAAAAAGATGTACCAAATTTAGCATAACGGCTCTAGTTGTAAATCAACATGATTTACTGGTTATATCTGCTATTGAGAGTGTACCTTTTTTAAAGAAAATAACTAAGTACAAATGGAAAATCTGATTTAAATTGAGGCTTTCCATTTGATTTAAATTATGATTTAAATCAATGACTAGTTCACGGAATGAACTGAGCTAGCTGATCAACTGAAATGAAGAAAATATTCTCTGTACCTGCGGAAGAGGCTACTGCTGTCAAAAGCTGGTGTAGCACTTCTGCAGTCTCAGGTTCCCGGTGCTTAGCCAGTGACTTCCACCAGTCTGGTATTTTGAATTTCTTTAAAACTTTAGTAGAAAACATATACTGCTTGAATATTTTTCTTTAATTTAATTGAAATTATTTTAATAGATGATAGTAAATTTAGGCCTTAACATAGGTTGCCATAATTTCAAATTTAAATATTTAAATAATAAAAAATTAAATAGGTTAATTTATAAAAAGACTGATATAAATGAAAACAGATTTTTTTTATTTATTAATTGATTTTTATCCACCCTGCTTAGGTGAGCGCGTATTTAGACCAACACTGAGGGACTCCAAAAATCCAGTTGTTCGATTTACCCAGGGCTACAAAGTGAGGCTGTGGTATATCTGGGAACAGCACAATCTCCTGACTCCCAGTCTTGTGCCTTAACCCTAAACCCAGCCTTCCTTCCCCTTTTGATAAAACACTTGCTGGGGGTGGCCTCTCAGTAGTGCACACACTGAGTCAGTGGGCTGCGTCCAGGACCAGTTAGCATTAATTGGCTTCATGGTCAGTGCTCTGAGCAGCATGAGTATGGAGATTTATTTGCCTCCTGACCTCTAGAAATGGTCCCCCCAGTTGCTGCTGGCTGGCGTGGCAGTGGGGTGGAGCTTACACTGCTGCTGCTGTGCCTGTTTTGGAAGAGCCAGACAGAAGACTCAGGGATGTCAGTCTGGCACCTTTCACCAACACTAGCACTGTAGAGGTGACTAGAGCCTGTGGACTCTGATGTCCCTTCCAGGCACTCTTCCCCCGTATCTTCTACTCTGTACTCAGGAAGGAGACCCTTCAGTGCATCCCTGGGCTGTTCCAGACAGCTCCTCACCCATCTTTCCCTGCTTTGCACTTAGTGATGGAGTAGCTGTCTTCTCTTCCTGTCCCAATCCCTGCATTCCGCGTTAATTCACAGCACCTGTCAGTGCAGGGCAAAGAGGCCAGCGTGAGCATGTGGGGGGTGAAAAAGGGATTTGTTTAGCAATCCCACTTGGCCTGTAAATCAGCAGTGTGCATGGGATCAGCTGCTACATAATAACTGATGCATATTCATGCTTGCTAGCTGCAGCAGAGTCATTCAGCTGGGGGATCCTTGTGTCCCTGTGTTGTTAATGTACCCCAATGGGAAGGAGGGAGGGAAAGGGGGGATCCCAGCGGCAGGTGCCTGACTGCTTGTCTTTATCTCCTCTCCCAGCTGCCCATCCTTCCTCAGCGTCCTGAGATGGGGGCACCATGGTTCGCTTGCTTTTCATCTGCATTTTCCTCAGCCTTTGAGCGCACTGAGGCTGATTTGGGACTCCGCAAGGGAGATTTTGTTGTTTTGCGGCTCTAAATCACTCCTGTCATACTTCCATCCTTCCTTGCATCCCTGTTGAGCTCATAACCGAGGTGATGTACCAGCGACTAAATAAAAATAGACCGATCCACCTAGTTGGCTTAGAGTTGCTAAATGAGCATGGTGGTGTTAGTGTGGAAGGGATTTGATCATGTCAGTTAGATGACTTATTTTTTTTTTTTTTTTAAAAAAAAGAGGAGTCTATGAACGTATCTAGAATTTGACACAGAATATGAGAGCTGCCCCATCGCATCTCTGCCAGTGCACTTGTTCCTGGTTTCCCCTATTGCCCCTCTGCCTACACATAAATCTGCATCATAATCCCGACCTGTAGCTCTCCCTGATATTCAATGCCTCTCCCACCATCAGCTCTGACAGCGCATCTCCAACCTCGGTTGTGTCAGTCCTGGGCCTCTCTTGAATGGAGAGGCTGCTGTGATGCCATTTTTTTCCCTAGATGGCCCATTAGAGATTGAGATGAAACACCCCCCCCCACACACACACACACACTCATTTCCGCTTGTGGCCTGGCCCCGGAACTTGAACTGTGGTCTCCAGAGTGAAAAGCCTAGTGTACCTAAGAATATTTCCAGGTCTCCCGAATCCTACTCCAGTGCCCTATCCACTAGGCCACTTTGGTGTAAAAGAATGTGTAAGACCCTGTATTGTTGAGAGGGACACAATTTACTTCCCAGTAATTCCTCCCACAGACTGCCACAGCCAGCAATCCCAGATGCACTTCTTCAACTTTACTCCCACTTCCTCACCCAGTGGTACTCCACTATCTCTCTAGGTATTTGTATGGCCCTCATCACTGTAGTATCTGAGCTTCTATAACACCCTTGTAGCAGGGGTTGCAAGTAACCAGATGTGGGTGCAAACAGTGTTACCCAATTTTGAGAGGCAGTGTGGCCCAGTGGATATGGGACTTAGAACACTAGTCCCAGCTCTGGCAACTGACCTGCTGTATGAGGTTGGTTGGCAAGTCACTTCACCTCCTTGTCTCTTTGCCTTTCCATCCTTTCTCTAATCTGTTTAGCCTGTAAATTCTTCAAAGCAGGGACTACGTGTGGTGCCTTGCACAGATGGGTCTTCTTCTCAGTTGGGGCTTCTAGGAGCAGCTATAACACAATTAATAATAATAAGGCTTGGAAGGATTAGTTTTTTATTGGTATATGTCGGTAAATGTCAATATCCAACCAAACCAAATAAAAAAAAATTTCCACTGATAAGCAAAGTAAGGAAAATGCTGTTGGAGAACTTATTAGTTAAAATCCACTGATTTAGACTTTTGAATGAGGCTGGTTACAAACGGACTAGCGAATGGATAGTAAAAACAGATATGGTTTGTTGCCTTAAGGGTAGTTATTTTGTGTATTTTTGACATGTGATGTTGACAATTTGTGTTGTAATGATTTAGAATGTTTTAACTTTCTGAATCTCTGCATCGGTCACTAAATAATTGTATGACCCCCGCCCCTCTATTTCCCATAGCTGTGAAAATTTAAAATGGATAAAAATATAAAAAAATTCTTAAAAACAAACATTGAAATTATCCATGAAAATTATTTTAAAAAGTAAAAATTGAATGCTGCCAAGCCTAATTATAAACTGTGTTAAGAGACTGTTTGCCAGAAGCTGGGAATGAGCAACAGGGGATGGATCACTTGATGATGACCTGTTCTGTTCATTCCCTCTGAAGCACCTAGCATTGGCGACTGTCAGAAGACAGGATACTGGGCTAGATGGGCTTTTGGTCTGACCCAGTATGACCGCTCTTCTGTTCTTAGTGGTACCCTCTCCACAAAACCAGACCTCATTGTTTTCTCTCACTCCTTCTCTGTGTTCTTTCTCAGGGGGAATTGAGCCATCCCCGACAACGAGGGGACCACCACTTTCTACAGGGCCAGAGTGGCCAACAACAGGGTGAGTGGTGCATTGGGGGATGGGGGATGAAACCATCTTCACACTGGGGGATAGCGGTGTGCTGAGACACTCGCCTGAAATGCTTTTGATTTGTTCCTGACCAGCCATCCCCTTCTTCCTCCCTCCTCAAGCTTCATCCCTATAGTTAGTTGTTTGGACCTTTCTGTCATGTTGGGAACAGAGGGATATGGTACATGCTACTTGAGTTGGTTTGCTCCTTAGGGGTAGAGCTGGTCAAAATGTATGGAAGAAAAAATTTTGCATCAAAAAGTGGCCTCTTGATCCATTTTTTAATCTAACATTTTCATGGAAAAACATTTTTATGATGTTTCACAAAAAATGTCATTTTAGAAAAAAAAGCGCTACTAAAATGGCTACCCAGACTGTTTGGCTGCAGAAACCCAGTTTCAATAACATTTTGGATAATGTTTTTCAACACAAATTTCAAAAATATCGTAAAAATTAAAAAAAGGTTCCATTTAAAATCTCTCTCAATCAGAATGGCTGAGATGTTTTCCATGAAACTAATTTTTCATTTTCCGACCCGCTCTCATTTACAAGTTCGAATGAAGAGAACGCAGATGGAAGTCTTGTCCGTCGAGACTGGATGCCTGTCTGGGAGATATGCTGTAGTCAAGTACAAGTTAATGTGCTCAATACAGGGGTAACTGGAGGAAATTTGTGGCCAGTGCTCATGTTCCCTCTAATTTTTGATGTCCATGTGTAGAATTAATTTTATGTGCACCAATATGGAGGTGATGTGATGTAGGGGGTGGGGCCGAGGGGTTCGGCGTGTGGGAGGGGGCTCAGGGCTGGGACAGAGGGTTGGGGTGTGAGGGCTCTGGCTGGGGGTGCAGGCTCTGGGGTGGGGCCCGGCATGAGGGGTTTGGGGTGCAGGCTGCCCTGGGGTTGCGGCGAAGAGAGAGGGACACCCCCAGCCCTCTCTCGCCGCAGCAGCCTGGGGCCGGGGAGAAGCACCTCTCCCTGCCTGCGTGACCTTTGATAGCCGCTGCGTGGCCACGCAGCTTAGAGGGAATTTAGGCCAGTGCTATACAGGGGTCAGATTAGCTGATTATAATGGTGCCTTCTGACCTTTTAAATCTGTTTGTCACAGTTTTTATTGAAAACCCTATCCCAACCGTTATTGAAACTGAGTTTTCACACCTGAAAAGGTTTTCAATAATGCTTTTAATCCCCCCCCCCCCCCAAAACACTCCGTGTTCAGTTGTGAACCCAGCAGTCATAGGGGTTCTCTGGCTGAAGAAGCCAGAAAGCAACCTCTCAACCCCTGATTTAGCCATTTAACAAATCTGTGCTGTAATACCTAGTGGCACGTTTCCTGGTGATGCATTTCGTGGCATGTAGAATGGACGGCTGGCTGCTGAGTATGGAGCTCAGTTTTTATTCTCTCATCCTGCAGGAACACTCTACAGTCAATCTGCAATCTTTCCGTGCAGATGCTTGTTCTTTGCCCCTAGGTTGGCTGTGTATTGCTGCTCTGTTTGATGCCTATTAGCTCAGGTTAGAAGATGACCTAAATCCTTCTGCAGTAAAAGCCTGCATGAATGGGAGCTCGCTGTTTGTTAACCTCCCCCAGCCTGAAAATCAGTTTGCTTATTGAAATATCTCCATCTTCTCTGCAGTCTGCCACGTGCCAGCTGGTGGCTCTTTGTGGAATCACTTGAGAGCTGCAGGGACTGTGCCCTGGCTTGTCACTCAGGTGGGATATTCCCCAGTGTGTGGTTTCAGGGTAGATTGTGAGTGCAGATGCCTGAAGTGTGAGTATTAATGCAATTGTTCTGGAACCTCTTCCTTCAACACATGCACGGTGCGGATATCTCAGATGTGCTGTCTGTGACCTACACAAAGCAGGTGAAATACTGTCTGTTTTGGTTAAGTCCTGTTAGTTGCTTCAGCTTCTGTGTACAGGTCAGTTCAGTTCCCTCTTCAGCTCTTGTTGCCACACCATACTGGTGTGTTAGTGTGCCCATGCCCTGCCTGCTTGTAACATCCACCCTCATTCCCCTTATGACGCTGCTGTGATTTGATTGGAATAATTGGAGAGCAGGGCCCCTTCTGGGAGCCAGCCTTACGTTCCAGCTCCGTGATTTGCTTTCCCATTAGAAGTGTCTCGGGGCGGGGGGAGCTCCTCCGCTACAGGGAGGCTGTCAGCTCCAATGAGAGGAACACAAAGACCCAGTATAAAACAAACAGTCGTTCCAGCCAGAACCTATAAATGGGGCCTTTCACCAAGCAGTTGTTGGGGCAAACTGTGCTCGCAGCATGGCCTAGTGGTTAGGACACAGAGTCGGGAGACCTGGATTACATTCGAAGCTCTGCCGCTGACTTGCTGTATGATGTTAAGGGAGACGGTTGGCTGCTCTGCCTCGATTTGCCCGTCTTTATGGGGTGGGGGAAGGATGGAATTGCCATACTGACAGTGGCCAGCACCAGAGGAAGATGCAAGAAACACAACAGGGGACAGTTTTGGAATAACCTCCTTCAAGAAGGATGTTTCTTCTCAACCTCTATCAGTTAGTGTTTGGCTTCTGCCTTGAAGCAGGAGAATTTATGTCCCTGTTAACACTGATACCTGCTGTAACTGCAGATGTTCTGATGAGCCAGATAAATGTCTGCTCACATTTTATATTCTGTTCTGTTCAGAAAGGGCTAAAAAGTGATTAATCGGTATTTAATAAACAGGCACTCACTTGTTATAGATTGTTACCAAGTCCAAGAGGTTAATAGCCCGCTTATAACCATAGCTTACAATAATCTACAATATCTTATAGCAGTGTGCTTATAATCTTCTGTGACATGCCACTCATGTCTGTAACATGCTTAGAGCATCTACAAACCACTTGCTACATAAGAGCTAAATGTTATTTATTATTAACCAATTTATAAATGGAACCTTAATAGTAAGTATAATTAAAAGTCTAATCCTCTCTTGAATTTTCCTAAACTCTTGGCCTCAGTGGCTGTGTGAAATGAGTAATTCATAGTAGGTTTTTCACTCCATGCATCTGAAGAAGTGGGTTTTTTACCCACGAAAGCTTATGTCCAAATAAATCTGTTAGTCTTTAAGGTGCCACCAGACTCCTCTTTGTTTTTGTGGATACAGACTAACATGGCTACCCCCTAATACTTAATTCATTAGTGTTCTCAAAGTGCTTTGAGATCCTCAGACAGAAGTAGCTACTCTTTGGGCATGTAAAGTATTGTTAAGCGTTGTAGTTGGGAGAAGGAGCTATTGTTCTGAGTCATCTGCTTGGCCCTGATGGGCAGAAAGGGCAGGCAAAAACTGAGAGGGTATTGAAGCTCCTTCCTGTAACCTGGATCTGAGCAGTGAGAACTTTCTCTCCTCCTCCTCATATGATGCAGCAACAGAACCCTTAGGACTTATCTACACAAGAAAGTTCCCCCCCCCGCATTCAATTTAAGAGGTGAATTTAAACCTCATTTAGAGTTATGCTGTGACTTAAAGCAGTGCGAAAGGGGAGATTCTTATTTTGCTTTAAACAAGGTTTTTCAGTTTATTTTAAATTTTTTTAAACTGGTTTAAAAAAAACTGCTATAAGAGTGTCCACAAAGGGGATTGCATTGGTTTAACTTAATTGGTTTTAAAACAGATTGAATTTAAACTGGTGCAACTTTCTTGTAAAGACAGGGCCTTAGAGAGGAAGAGCTGTAGTCCGAGTGATACCCCCATTTTAGATGGACTGCAGCCCCTACTGCTGCCTTAGCCTTTCAGAACCTTGCAAGCCACCCCTTGCTGACAACCTGCCCAATCCTCAGTACCTTAGAGACACCCATTCCTTCTCTGCATCCCATCGCTTCCTTCATTCCCTTCCACAAATACCCAGCATGTTATTATTGCTAATTCCACTCCGTCTTAGTTCTTTACATCTGTAAGTCTCAAGGCACTTTACAAAAGAGGGTATGTAGCATTGCCTCCATTTTAGAGATGGGAGAAACTGAGACACTGGGAGCTGAAGGGCCTTGCCTAAGGTCAGATGGCAGGTCATTAGCAGAGCTAGGTCTCCTGAGTTCTAGACCAGTGCCCTATCCACTGGACCATACTACCTCCTATTTCCCCAGCTTGTCTCATGGCTCCTATGCCTAAGCCACCAGGCACCTCAAATACCATAATCGAGGCACCCATGAACACATCATTCTTTCTTGTGGGCAGAGCCAAGTAATAATGAACAGGACACCATTGTAAACAAGGTGCATCTCTTCCCTGGAGGAGCAGTTGCTGCCACAAATCATAACTGACAGTGCTCGTTGGAAGGTTGAAATACACGTGTGTCCTGCAGGGAGGAAAGTGGCACATTCTGAGTCTTTGGTTATTTTAAATGGTTAGTCCTGCCTCTGCGCCAGTGTTCCTAGAGAATGATGTTGGCTGTCTCCCATGTGGTTGAGATGTTAAGCCATTGTGTTTGCTTTCAGGAAAGGGGAGTGTTTGTCAGCTGTGGGGCTTCTACCTAGCAATTCAGCAAACTGATGAATACCCTTTCCCCACTCTGTGCCCAGCCCTTCCCCCCAACTTTGGTTTTGACTCTTCAATCCTTTTCCCGCTTTGCTGGCAGCTAGACCTTCAGGGAGGGAGTTCCATTTTGGCTCTAGATGTTACTTAACGACCAGCTGTTTGCCTGGCTTATTGGTGAGACCAACCCTCTGCAGAAAACACAGTGGGCCAGCCTTCTTTGATTCAGGACATGGGGATGGAGGGACTTGGACACAGGTCCCTCTGTGACTTTGGTGCATTCCTCACTGACCCCATCAGAGTCACAAGTGGGGCCCTGAGACATGGATGTCTCGATTTGTGGGAGGAAAACATTGATTACCTAGACGAATCTTGCATTTCTTTAAAAGTCATGTATAGGTGTTGCTGGACAGGATTTGACCATTGGGCCAATTAGTCCAGTATCCCACTGAGGAGAACAAACCCTGCATTGCACCTGGCCTATTGAACAATGCTGCAGGTGGAGAGGGGA